TGGTGACAAACATTTTTGTTATCTTTGTTGTTTGTCATCTTTAACAATTAGCAATCAGCAATCATCGGTCAACTGATTATCATGAATCCAAATGTTTTTCCTGAATTAGGAAGGACAATTCAAGGATAGCAACTCCTCATTTCGCTTCCGTTTTTTTTTTTTTTTTTCACGTAATTACCAGCATAAAATATGAACGGCTCGATTAATAACTGGCATATAAATCACTTATTCCAAAAGAATATATGAAATTTTTTTTTCCGAGAGAAGAATGAGTCGAGATGAGTCATCGCTAACTGGTTTCACTTTGTATCACAACAGAGAACCTTCTCTTCCACACAGTATTTTTAAAAAGTTCAACTAATCGGATCGAATTTTACTTTCACTATATCTATTTCAAATGTAATTATTGCCTATGAAGTAAAGACAGTAAATGTTAGAATCTTTCAACTAGGGTGCAGTACACCACCTATATTGCAAAACTATCGGATTTCTTTCAACAATCAGATCAAGGTCAGACACAATGTCTCTCTCTCTCTCTCTTTTTCTTTCTCTCCTGAAAGGTTCACAATACAAACTTTTCATTATGATAAGATATCAACAATTTAGACTAATGAATTTGCAGTAATGATTTCTTAACTTACTGAAAGTTTCAAGATATATAATCTATTCTTCGCGTATTACATTAGTTCTATATCTTTCGATATGGCTTACATGTCAAATTTTTTGGAAGTTTTCTAGTTTGTCTTTTAACAAAAAAATTCAACAAAGCTACGAATTAAATGAATAAGCAAAATCATAAGAATTAGGAAAGCAGAAAAGTGAAAGATCAGTTCGTATTTTCTAATGGATAGTATTTCAGTGAAACTGTGAAAAAACAGTTAGCTTCACAGCGTCATTAATAAGTGTAGTTTTAAAATGAATATGTTTTGCTATAAAAGCAAACGATATGACATAAAAGTTTGAGAAAAGTTTTGCTCAACGATGAGCATAAATTTATAAAATAAAAATATTCAAACAGAAACAGTTTGAGAATTTTCGTATTGAAAAAAAAAAGAAAGAATAAAGGATCAGTCGACCAACCATTTGCTCGCACATTCATTTACATATCATCAAATATTCATAATAACAATGGAAATAAATCGAAATAAATGAATATAATTCTTATCAATTGTTATTTCCAGGATATTAAATTCAGCTATCAAAAAAATTCTTTAAATATTCTCCAGATAGCTTCTAGAGGACTCTCATATGTTTGGTTTACATTCTAGTTTCTTCTAGCATAAAACAGCATACTTCAATTTAATAAACATTGACATCTTATTGCATTATTACCAGTCCATCTTAGTCGGTGTGTATCCAACACGAAATATTTTTAAAACATTTATTGAAATACTTTAAAAACAGTTTCTCTCGTGTCACTTGACTCTCTTACATATTTATCAATTTTCTTGAAGTTTTTCTAATAAAAAGCATACGTTTTCCTATTTTCTACTTCAATTAATTGTTCAACATGATACGACCAGCTTTTTAAGGAAGAAAAAAGACTAATAAAAAACATTTCTTTAACTTTTATTTCACTCTGTTTCATTTAAGCTTTATTTCTAAAAGAAAAAGGAAAAAAAAAGCTGAATATTGAAAATTGTGCAAAAATGAAATGGAAAAATATGAAAAGACATAATATTTTAGAGCATTCTAATAGACGAGACGCATAAGAATGTTTATTCGTTGTATAAATCCGTTGCATATTGACGCACTTTAATCATTTTTGTAATAAAAAACTATGATATGTGATTTTCTATAGAATCTTTATTAAAAATCAATAAATGTTATCTTCTAACATTACATTTTTAATTGTTCTTTTCATCGTTTTCACCTTTTTTTTTTGTTTTATTTTGTTGAATGTAAATTCAATTCTTTCGCTCACTTTATCTTATCTTCATAAAGTGAAATTCAATTCCTTTTTTCTTTTTAGAAAAAGTAGTCTCTTATTTAGCGAATTTATGAAATATTGTGCATAAAAAAAAAAAAACAAAGTATTGGCATTTTGAAAATATAAAAAAAGGGTATTTTAAATATTTCTTTTCTGAAATTTTTTTTTTACAGACTTTAAGAAATCGATAATAAAGTTAAGTTCATGTATTATACTCCGCAAAAGTGTAATTACTGTGTTCACAATGATAAGTGAACAATTTAAAAAGCATTTCTGTTCATTATTTGAAAAAAAAGGGAGAAAGTAAAAGGGAAAGCAAATTCAGTTAAGTAAGTAATGGGAAAAGAGTATAGTGATCGTGTGATTATCACTATATCACTAATGATTAATGATGAAAAAAGCGGAAAAGATGAATAACATGATGATATTATTGCTGTGATCACTCTTTCATAACATAAATTAACACAATGAACCATAAAATATATATATTAATGTTCCTTCCTTCCTTCCTCTTTCTCTCTCTCTCTCTCCCTACAAGTAAAACAGATATTCAAAACTTCACTTAGATCAGATTAAATGTTATTTTGTCTGTTCATTTATTAAACAAACATATGTATTTCCATGAGAAACTAGTTATTAATCATATTATTCGCACGAAAAAATTCTTACAAAACTTTTGATTAATTTCTCAACGAAAGAGTTTTTGTTACAATAAGTAACTGATAAAATCATCAATGGGAAAAACATAATATATAGCTTAAAAAAACGAAATCAATTTGGAAAGTTTTCCAGAAAATACCGTTACAATATAAAATTTCGAAATTCACTCATATAATAGACTACAACTTACCTTAGAGGTATGCATTTATGCAAATGAATTCGGTGAATAAATCAAGCAAATTAAATAATTTGAATGGAATAAATCATTCTCTAAAGTATTCTTAATTTCGTTTTGATTTCATTTTGAACAATTGAATGAGATTCAGTGTACTTCATACTTGACTTAATCAATAAATTGAAATTGATAAAATCTGATAGTTCTTTAAGACAAACGATACTTGCAGCAATGCGCAACAGTATTGGAAGAAGAAATAAATATTGAAAAACGTAAAATACAATGATTTTGGAACAATCGAAAGTCAGAGATGATACAAATGCTACGACAATCTGATAATAATAGTATTATCGCAGATTTTCTTATCTTCTTTTTCGTTCAATAATTTTTATTCCGTCTTATTTCTGAAGTTTGTAACAATAAAAATAAAAAATGGAATTTGGATTTTTCATTTTTTAAGAAAGAACATAGTGGATAGAAGTAAACGCTGTTTTTACATAATAAATAACTTCTCATCATTCAGTTTTCGCTTTCAGCAGATAGAAATTAGTTAGTGGATGTAAAAATTCTAGCATTAAAAAAATTCAAAATAAGAGTTATTCACATTATTTTACTTTAAAATGAAAAACGTGTTCGCAGTTGATTTTTTGAAAAATCATAAAACTTTGCACCATATCCGGCAAGACAAACACAATAATTTCTCTTTTTTAGATCCAAACATCATTCTGATGAGATCAGATGTTACACATATGTTCTCATACGTACAGATGTAATTCAATTCAACCTTCATTTCTCGTGCAATTGACGATGTACAATTTCTGAAGAAAATACAATCAAATAATAATATAGAAAAAGTAAATTAAAAAATATTAATTAATTAACTATTTAGATGAATCATAGCAAAGTATCTTCCGTCTAAACTACGCAGAATCTAGAATTTTGATTGAAATAAAACTAATAAATGTGAGGAAGAAAACTATAAGAAAAAGATTTTGAAAATTCACAATTTAGAAAAATTTATGCTTTAAATTTGGTCCAAAATTTTCCAGTTCAAACCAGTTAATTTCTATAAAAAACTTGCGTGATTATAAGGAAGCCTTACACTTATTTTTTTAAAACTTTTTGGAGTTACTGCTAAAATATTCTCATAACTGGGAGATTAGATTGAGTAAAAATTTTTTCTGCTTGCAATATTTCTGATAAAGATCGAAGTAAAAATGAAAACTACACTCTCGTCATCTTGGTGACAAATTTCTAAGGATTTTGAAAGGATTAAAATTTAATGAGAAAGCTTTTGAAAAGATTAAAGTTTAGAGATAAAACTACAATGGTAACGACATTTTATTATTTAATTTTCTACACTTCAGACATAAGATTAAATCAAAGTCAAATGTACCCTTTTTTATGTCCTTTCAAAATTCTTTGGGATGAGTTTTTCCAAATTGCTCTACCTCTCCCTCTCTCTCTCTCTCTCCCTCTCTTTCTCTCCATCACAATTATTAGATCCATAATGGCAAAATCAATGTTATTTCTTCTTTGAGATGGCTGATGATAAAATGTGTTAATGATAATACATCAATATTTCAGACCAGTTAAGAGATTCCAGAGCCCAGGAATTTCTCGAGAATCGAAGTTTTCTTCTGTCGCTGAATTACCACTCATCGAAGATATGCATAAAACTTCAGGAAATTATTTTTTCGATAAACAGTCAATTGTTAACTTTATGCTAACAAAATATATTGAAGAGTTAATCTTCTAACAAATTTATCATGGAGATTACATTCTTCAAAGAATCGAAAATTTTTTTGCATGAAATTCTTTATCAAAAAATATTTGGGGTACGAATAATAATTAGGCACGAGCTGTTCGTTCATTTTTAGCCAATTAGAAAGAAAAAAAGCGATTAATTATATTTCTTATCTTATTAGCTAACTACTTATAATGTAAAAGATTAAGAATTTTTAACAATTTACTCTTCAAAAAGTATGCAACAGTATAATGCATTTGCCTTTGGTAAGTATAGAAAAGTTGAATTGGTAAATGGAAATTGAGGGCTCCCAATTTAATGATAATTTAAATCATCATTAATTTGATTTAAATCTCAGTTGCTCTAACCTTTTTCCATGAAGACTGCTTCCTGTGAACCATAATTCTTGGATATTCAACCAAATACCAACAAACCTCACTTGGCAAATTTTAAATAGTTTCAGCTTATAGCAGGGATAGGAATAACTGATGGATAAAGTAGATCAATATTTTTATAGTAAAATGTCGTCAAAACCAATTGAATGGCTTGTTCAGAAAAGTCGGTTAGGATATTTATGTCTTTTCTGTTTCTGGATGATGATGCCTAGAAGTGATATCATGATTTGATGGATAAGGGATATCAGGAAGGAAAAGAAGCGAAACTTGAAGAAGAAAATAAGAAGTGGAACAAAAACGACGAGGAATGATGATCAAACAAAAGTAACAACAAAAAAAACAATAACAACAAGAACAACAACAACAAACAATAGTAGTAATAACAATAACAATGGCAACAGCAACAGCAACAGTAACAGCATTAGCAGCAATGACAATAATAACAAAGTAATGATAGTAATACCTCTTGAAAGAGGAGAGATGGAGGAGAATTTAGAAATCAAATGGAATGAGCGAAAGGGCCCAGAACTATCCAACCTACCTGTTTCTACCTGCCACTCTTTTCCTATCCATCCTTTTCCTCCACCGTTTACTACACTAACATTTACTATTCTATTACCGCTACAATTTGTTGTTTCTCATTTTCACGATTAATTTCACTTCATTAATTAATAGACTTTTTTTCAGAGAGAAATATCTTCTATTGAGTGCATAGACGGTGAATAGTGTTTTCTCTTTACTTGTTTACCATTTCTTTCGTAATGAACTGAGAAAGAGAAAAAGTTCTTTAACGCTTGGAATAGCTACGACAAGGATGTCTAGCCACAGCCAGTCCTGTAACGGAAATGAATAGAAACAGGATTTCATTCCATCTTTTAAGAGACAGCTGTTCAAATCAAAACCTAAAATCAAATTCCAACTTAACTTTCAAATTCCTTTAAGAGTGCTAACAACGGAGCTGCACGGGAAAGCAAATCTTACAGTACGGATGGAATTAAAAAGCTTGTTGGAAGTATATTTAATGATCTGAAAAAACACATTTTGTTGGCGCTCCTGTCTACCATTCACAAGCAATGTCATTTTTCTGCCATTTCAAAGAGGAAAGAACCCAGTCTTCCACATATCAGAGCGTAAGAATTTCATTTTTTTCACTAAAAACATTTCACTGTTACTCTCATCCAACTTTCGTTTTCACTTGTTCAGTTAAACAAATTGATAAGTAATAAGCGAAATTTTGAGAACTCGTAGAACCAAAAATACAAAGGAAAAATGATTAACCTATCCCAATGTCATGCGCAATCTGAAGCTTCGTAGTTTCTGATTTTCTTCTTAACTAAGAATCAGCTTAGATAACAGTAATTAATAAAGGGTAAACTATAAGAGGGAAGACCAGTATAGAGATGGATAAAATTCTCCGAAATTGAAGGAAAAAGAAAATTAAAATGTTTGTTGAAAGTTTGCAGTGACGTGGTGCAGAGACGGATGGTTGTGGTTGTGGTTGTAGTTGTGGTGATGGGTGGCGGTAATGGCGCTTGTGGTAGTGGTGCTATAGCGCTGTACACTATAGCAACGCAGCATCGGAGCTGTTCCGCTGATGCATTTACAATTCTCTCTTGTTACTTTTTTGTTTTTCACAAAAAATTTCTGAAAAAAAAAAAAAAAGAGAAAAAGGGAAGAAGCGGAGCAGGCATCACCCGCCTCTTCACTGATTCCATTAAGCTTGTTTAAAAGCGATCACAATTTGCAGAATATAATTCACATGCAAACGGTTCTAGAATTGTGAAACATTTATTTTAAGATATCAGTCAGATCTCAGATTCATTTGAAAGTCTAATTCACTCGTAAGGCTGAAATACTGATCGCTACTATTTCTTTCAGATCTGTCATCATTTATTTATTGTATTTATTATAAATGTAAACATCGACTGACCGTCTGACAATTATGACTATTTATTCAGTAAAACAATGGTTGAAGTTACCCGAATTTGAATCATAAATCAAAGTTAAAAGATGTTAGACATTATGAAGTAGGGAAAGAATTTACTGCAATGATATTATACTGTTAAAAATATCTGAATTCAAATTAATTCATAAGAGGCAGAAGTTAAGGTGACATTTATTTAACCATTTGACTATCATAGTCATGAAATCATTCATCGTCCTATTATTGCTTTCATACGACCGACCAATGTTGGTCCTAACAGCATTACTAGTCCATATTGAGAAACTTAGCAATCGAAGAAAATCCAGCAATATTAACAGATTTTTATTTTCAATCAAAATTAATTTTATTTTTTTAATTAAAATTAAAAATTACTGAGAATTCTCTTAAATGTCCCCATTTAAGAAAATTTTCAGACTGATCATTTGTACTAATGATAAGAGTGTTAATAATAACAAAGATTATGAGTGTTAATGATAACACTCATAATCTTTTTACATGATGTTAAATCATCACACGATGGTAGTCGCTTGAAATGGCAGACGATTTTTATACATGGGATTCTTACTAGTATTTAGTTAACTTCACTGCTTATCATCAAAGACCGTAAGGAATGGTCGAACAGGTATGAGGCTTTTTTTTTATTGGCATTTTCTACAGATGTGAAACCCACCAGTCAATGCTAAGCAGTAGCTATTTTAAGATACCAAAATGGGATATTCAGATAGAAATCATATAAATATTTAATAAATAGTTTGTGTTTCGCAGCAGTAGAAAGGAAGAAAAATCGCTTTTTGTTATTTTCGAATTTTCGTCAGATAAGTGAACAAGAATTGGCATAGTATCATAAAAGAAGGTATTAAATAATGAAATAGAAGAACTGGTCTGGAATCATTTATTTATTCTTGCAAAGTTTTTCTCATCCCTGAAACAGAAGAAGGTGTTAAAAAGTTTTCAGGACAAGAATGTATGTTAATGATGAGGCAAGTTTATAATCACACCTGTCCCCTCACAACACATTTATGTTTTCCAACTCTGAAAGAAAAAATAAATTAATATAACGCTAATCATTCGCATTTCATATTATCAATTATGACTGTAGAATTTGAGCAATCAGTGAAAGCAGAAATAAATGCAAATTTCAAATTTTAAATGAAGAATTTTTGAATAGAGAAAAATGTTTCGAAAAAAATAATTTCGAAGAAAAACAAAAGATTAATTTCGAAAAACTACAGCAAATTTCATTTCTTTCACTAACTCACTGTGATTTTGTCCTTTCTATTATAATAAGAAACATGTGGAATTCCACTGTCTTTTTTTACTGGCAACAGTTGGTTGGAAAAAAACCGGAAATTTTGAACAATATGATTTACTTTTGAGAATTTAAGCGAATAGATGCGTATAGACACCAACTTGTTTTACGGTTTAAAAAAAAAATTGATAAACAAGGCGAGGAATCAATATTTCTGTTATAATTTTAATAATTAATATTTTTTATTCTTTATATATTTGCTGCTACAATTTCAATTAAAGTTTGCAATTAAAAATTATAAAAATATGAATTGTTGGCTCCATTTTACCAATAAAGATTGAAAAGATTCAGATTTTCAAGTTGATTAGTTGCATAGACTAAAAAACTTTGAAAGAACCCGACAATGGACTTAAAATCAAAACTCATTTGCCAAATGGACTCAGACTGTTTGTCGAAATATAACTGTCCTTTTGTGCAATCAATTTCTACTACACTTAACGTCACTCATTAAGTTTAAATTCAAGAAAACAATTAATTAGATTTAATTGCAGTAGAAATTTTCCGAAAAAAATGCAAGCATTTTCTCTTATAACTATCTTCAAAAGCTACTACAGAAAAGAAAATGATGCTGCATTGAAACAATTCGATTGATCCTATATTTAAATATTTTCGAATGTGAAATCCCTTTTTTACTGATAAAAAAGAAAATGCGGAAAAAGTATAGTAACTTTTACTCCTTTTGTAAACTGGATATTTGATCTGTTCTGAAGTCATGAATGAGGAAAAATAAACCCTGAGGCATGCTTTATAAATAGATTAACAACATTTCTATTAATTTTTTATGCATATGGAACAAAAGATTGTAAGTCATTTACCGCATAGGGTTCGGGCAGTTCTGAAGTTAATATCTTATCGTGGCTACTCTACAATGACCGAATATGACCATACATCGTCCTTTGTAACATGATTCTATTTGAAATCAAACACATATATCTCTTTGAATTTCACATCATCAATGTCTGACAGTTAAATTGCAATGCAACAAGCCTGGGAATATTTGGCTGAGAAAAAAAGTGAATTAAAAAATCAAAATGAAATAGGAAAGAAGAGATCGCATACTTCAAGTAAGTCCACTTATTGAAACATTCATATCATTATCTCAAACTGATTGCTTTCTCCACTTAGATAAAATCTTAAACTACCGAACGTTTTATAATCACCTTCATTTATTAGATTAAGTAGGCAAACAACTTGCACGGAAGGTAGTTGACTATCCCCTTGTATGTTGTTGAAATTCCCCATATGATTTTTTAAGCTTTTTTAGAAGATTGTAAATAGTTCATTTGCTATCCAACGAATTTATCTTTAATCACTGCCAAAGAATAATTTTAGCTAATCTCATTAATACAGCTATTTTCATCTGCTGCGCTTCTACTCAATACTAACTATTGTACAGAGCTCTTGCACGAAAAAATTGTGCTAAGATTGTTCTACCCATATCGTCCAATTCATGTTATCTGATTAAATGCCAGGTGACGCAGACTGAAGTTGAAACAATATCAGGTGTGATATAAACACCATGACAACCACTCAAAATATTTTTTGTATCCAATTTGGAAATATTGAGCTCTCACGATGAAATAAAATTCCCTGCTTTTTCATTATTAGTGAATAATTCAATTTATCATTAAAATCAACAACAGAGTAACAAACACAACGAATAGAAAATAATAACACACACTATTTCAGATACTTTCTCTCTTTTAAACCTTTTCAGAATAATTTCATACTATCTGAAATAAATTTGCGAGTATTTACTCGTAACTCTCTCATAAAAACATGAGAAATAGAACTTACAAGTTTTCAATGCATACTGCTAAATGCAAGTAGAAATCGAAATCATGAATTAGCATTATGCACTGTAAAATAGTTCCAATATTGTGACACTGTGGGATTATTATAATGCCGAAAATATCGGTGTTATAGTAATTACGACAATTAATTCCAGCAGTGCTATATTTAAAGTACTCGAAAAATATTTCTTTACTGCTAATATATTTGAATGGAAAGAACAGAGAACTCAAAAATTTGGAAATACCAGGAAGATAAATAATTTAAAAGGATGGGTATGGGATAAACTAAAACAATCTGACATAAATTATTGTACATCTAACATTCTCACTAATATCATACTTGCTGAGGTAATAAAAAACAGGAACGAATAAACTTTTGAGCCAAATATGGCATAGGTGCAAGTGAATATGATGGTCCAGAGAAAATTTCCAAATTGGATAATGTTTCGACTGGAACTTCGTTACTTTCAACTTCTTTTTTACCAACAGTTAATAAATTTGAAAATGGAGTCTTTTTCAATGCTATATTCCTCGTATGCAATTGCTTTTGCGCTTCTTTTAGCAATTCCGACCTTGCAATCACTCCATAACCCTGAAATGATTATTTTTGGAAGGAAAAGGAAGCGATGGAATTATTACAAAATAGAATGAAGTCATTACAAGAACTATAGGAAGAGAAATCTCCAACACTGCGCTTAATTCACCGAGTATAACGTAAAAACATTTTATGATCGATAACTTTTGACTTTTTGAGAAACAGCTTAGGTAACTTTGAGAATAACAGCTTAAGCTATGTGATACATACATTTGTTGACTTATATTTTATAAAAATGATACAAACCTTTTCATAAGCAGCAACTACTGTAAACGTTCGGTCCTTTCCAATACCAATAACACTTTCTGGAGTTGAATTTAATTTCCTTTGACATAGTAAAGTACCGGAAGAGCTATCGATCACAGAAACAACTGCAAAAACCTCGTGCATCACTACGGTAATACAAATTTTTATTGTAATTATACATTCCCATAGTTCCTTATACTGTTATACGAAGTTCTACTAAAATCTTTTAACCGTACTAATAACATCAAATTTTAGTAATAATTTTAATTTCAATAAATTTAATAACAATTCTAAATTAATAGAAATCTTTTTTTTCGAGAGAAACATGAACCGTTTTTATTGTATGCAACCGTAAACTGCGATGTTACAGCGAGTTTCAAATCCGGTTCGCAAACAATCCATAATGGTGCAAGCGTGCATATATTGAGAGCATAGATACAACTTTTAGATGATATTATAAGCAAGTTGGTATTATTCAGAGGACCCCATTCTACTGCTGTAAGTTTGCCATTACCCTGATGAACATAAACAACACGTGGAGATTTTTCCTGTTCTGCACACCACAGAGCAACGACTCCATCAGTCTTCTGACTGATCTGGAAACGAACTGATTAGTAAATTTAAGAACTAGTAAGCAATTTGTGGTGGAACTTGTTAAAACATCAGAAGTTATTTCAAATTTTCGAATGTTTTGAGTTGAAAGGAAGAAAAAAAGAAACATCATGAATCGCAGCAAAATGTGACTTTTGTATCCTTGAAACATGCAAAATAGGAACATCCATCCAGTGAACTTCGTTCGACTTACACCACTTTTTCTCATCATTTTTCATTCTTTCCCATGTGCACAGAACTCCCTGAAATAATTTAACATGTAAATAATTAACATAGTAACATTATTAATTGGAAAAAAAAAAGGACGTTATAAGCAAGTGTTTCCTTAACAATAGATCAATCTTTTATCCGCTTGAAACTAATTCACCAAAAAAAATTTTTGAAACAATCAACCTTATTATCAGCAGTAACGAACAAATCACAGTCAAGACATGCTC